CCGCTCTGGAGAACGTCCTTCGCCACCCCGCGCCGGTGGCGTCGCCGCTTCGGCGTCCATTCACTGGCGGCTTTTAGGCAAACGCTGCCTCGATTTCTTTCCCACCCACTTCGTTTGAGAGCTGTAATCGTATTTCCTTGCGGAGCCCTGCGCACGAGCCGCGTACTCTTGGGTTCATTCGCAGCTGGCCCCGTGCATGCATAATGCAGTGTTCCTGGTGTTTACTTACTGGTGATGGCCATGTGGCCTGTTTGTACACGTAATGCGTATAGTTATTGCCTGACACTCACAACAGGCATTGAAAATTAGGTCAATCCGAGAATATAAGCAGACTCTCATGAACTTTATGATTTCACAATTTGTTAAAATAATAATAATAATAATAATAATAATAATAATTATAATAATAATAACCATGTTATTTTCTTTAAGGGAATGAAAAATATTTGCTTGTTGTGATACCGATAGTATGCTGTTATACATTAGATATACTAATAAACAACAAGCAAAGTACGCGTATTGTGATTTCATTTTTTCTTAGTTTGTTTTTTCAGCATCTCTCTTGACATAATTGTTTCAAACTGATGGGATAATAGTGGTAATTCAAACGTATTTTCTGAGAACCTATTGGTAGTCCTGCGCAATATATATATTAGTTTCCTAATTTAAAATTATCGTAATGGATTGCAAGTGTTAGTTCATATTACCGATATTAGTATCTCTTCCTCTTACAGTCTCTTTTAATATATGAGAAATAAGACTGGAGAAATGGGATGATTTATCTCTGAAGGATTGTAACACGTTTTGCCTCATGCATACCCTTTTCCTTTATGTAGCGTGTTTGAGGAAGCCAAAGAACTTCATATTGTCTTCACACAATAAGAGCGTCATATAACAGGATTGATAAGTAAATCATATTTTCACAAATTATAATTGATTTTAAGATATTTATTAATTAATCTTGACGCATATTACCTGCCATTCAGTCTCATTCAATCACAAGTATTTATTGCCACTTCTCATAAATACTTCAGACTTCAATCTTGAGCGATTTGAGACATCGGCTGGGCAGTACAAAACATGTGCATTAATAAGAGGAGACCCTTTTTGTTTTGTCTCTTTGCTTTTTACCCTCTTTGATGCGGAGAGTTCGTTGGCTCTTTTGTGCACGAGCCGCGTTCTTTCGACCCATTTCCCGAGGTGCGAAAATTGGCCAGAGCGGGTGCGGGCGAGTGCGGGCGGCTGAGGGCCGCTGCCTTGATCGATGGGCGCGCGGCCTCCCTTCCGCGTTGCGACCTTGACACTGCTTTCAAGCCGTGCGCGACACCCACCCCTTGTCTCTGCAGTCATCGCCCGTTTGCCTTCAGCCGATGATACCAAATCACTTCCTTCGATTTGCCGACAAACGGGAACGAAGTATACCAAACAAAAACAATACATTTTTCGTGTGGTCCGTACATAGGTTTGCAAATCCTTTGTAATATGTTTTGTCGTCGCTCTATTGTTCTGCGTTAGGAAAATTTGGCGCTTTTTTGCTCATTTCTGTCGGGGAATTAAATTTCCTTTCCTGCTAGTGAGTGTTCAGAGCTGCTGACTGCCCTCTTAAATCTAAGCAAAGTAATGAAAAAGGTGTTAAATATAATATTGGGTTATTCAAAAAATGCATACCAAAAACCTAACTTCTGTAGTATAATAAATAACACAGGCCAAAAGAACACCTAAGTTGTCAGGCCCTAAGACTTGACACGTGTTTTCTGTGTATTTCGACGTGCTGAATCCGAATCTGAAGCCAAAATTGCGCCATCACTCTCCAACTTTTTAAATCGCAAAAAACCATCTTGCCATTGTAATTTTTGTTTTCGGCGTTGTTGTCAGGCCCAAAGACTTGACACATGATTCTCTATGTATTTCGACGCACTGAATAGGAATCTGAAGACAAAATTACGCCATTACCCTCCATTTTTGAAATCGCGAGAAACTACTGTGAAATTGTAGACTGTAAATTTGAGGGTTGTATTTGCGGTTTAAAACAATGGAGGCTGGTGGCACCGCTTCTGGCTTCATATTCGGATTCAACGCGTCGACATTCATAGAGAAACATGTGTGAAGTCTTTGGGGTCTGACAACAATCCCCCCCCCCCAAAAAAAAACTAAAAGAACAACGAAAACAAAAATAATACAATGTCACAATGTTTTTGCAATAAAAAATGCAGGTTTATGGCTCAATTCTGGCTTCATATTCGGATTCAGCGTGTTGAAATACATAGAGAAACATGTCTTTGGATCTGACAACTTTGTGTGTGTGCACCTTTACAATTAATGTGTAGATAGTTATCTAATGTAGTTAAAGCCAATAAAGATATTTGTAAAATTTTAAAATAACTAATGTTTTATCTTCGAGTTAAATAAATAAAATTGGAATCTGATTGTGGTTTCAAAATAACTGTAACTTAAATGGTATAAAAGCAATTGAATGGCTTTTACGATTTTTGTCAGCCTGTCCAGCGTAAGCTCCGGAACGGTTGCACCGATTTCGATTGGGTTGGCACTGAAAGACAGAAAGTTTATGGGGTACAACTTCGACTATTTTTTGTTGGTATTTAAGGTCGCATCAACATCTAGGTCATTTGCGACCACTACGACCATTTTACGGTATGGTAACTATGAAGATGATATGATGATGATAGGAGGCGGAAGGACGAACACAAATACAACCATGCCCGAGGCGGGATTTGAACCCGCGATCCTTCAGTCCGAGATTGCTACGGCACTAATCACTACATTTTATTCAAATTATTATTTTATCTTATATAAAGAAATATTTTGTTTGTTTGTTTGTTATTTTTTATATAAATTACAGTTTTATTACGATCGTAATAAAATTATGTAGACGTGACTTTCAGACAAGAAAAAAGTTACTGTATACAGGAGATTTTGTAAAACTCATTCGCATTTCCCTTTTCTGTCCTCCGAAGCAAAATTTACGTGTGTACTCCGTCAGTTTTCCCACCAATGTTTCGAGCATGCTGTCAGAGGACTACTGTGCGCGTACGAAAACAGCAATAGGTGAGCGCTGTGCGCACACAATTACCTCGGGCATTAGAGGGTTAAGGTTTTTAAGCTTCACGCCCAATTCAAGGCACGGAGCTAACAATCAAACTGACTTCGAAGTTTCCGTCTCTCCCATCGCGGCCAAGTGTGTGCAACCCGCATCAAAAATGCCATCTGTGCCGCTGCGTCCTTCCGTGCCCTACCGACGCAGTGCGAGCTTGGCATTTCCACTTCCTTGTGACGAACTATTCCGGAGTTTTAGCGACTGCGATAACACGCAGAGTGGCTTCTGCGACATGACGCATGCGCGCGATCGCTAAATCGCCGGAATCGTTCGAGAAAAGGAAAGTGCAAATGGAGTCGAAGGTGGTTGTTTTGAAGTCCGTTCTGGTCTCGTGGTCGAGGGGCGCTGCGTGCCTGCGTAGAAACCGAGAGCAGAGGCCGCAGATTTCATTCGCCAGCATTTCCTTTACGCCGAGCGGCTTGTGAAAGAAAGCAAGTCGGTCTCGTGGGAATATTTTAATTGCGAGACATGCTAGGCGGAAGGAGCTTGAAGCACGGCAAATTCAATTCTTATCTTTTGAATGTTAGTTTCGGGAAGCAAATGTTTATGGTGAAAGAGCATGAAGGTTTTTCATTTATTTTTTTTGTTTACAATAGTTTGCATTATATACTACCAATAAATGGATTTAAAAGGTACAGCTTCCCTTCGCAAAAACAGTAAGGCATATGGCATTTCACAGGTGATGTAGAGATCCAATGGATTGGTGTCTATCACTTTCGAAGTGGTGTATTTTAGAGAACTTTGCTTCTGGAAGTGGGAGCATTGATTTTTCCGGACTGCCCCTCGCTGCGCGATGAAGTGCAATGTATCGCTTAAGAGCGCCTAACGTACTTTCTCTAAAAAAGCAACACCTATGCCGTTGAATTTATTGTCAGAATTTTCAAATGATTCTCATCAAGTAAAAAATATATAGTCACATTTGAAAAAATAAAGTTCCCTTAAAAATATGTGCACAGCGAAAGTCACGCCTGTCAAGTACATACTTTATTGTATGTGTCCCTATGGAACCTATCAAATGCCCAAATCTACATTTCCATTCCTAAACGGTGCAAAAACATTCGTAGTGCTAGTAGTTATTGAATGGCACATTAATGAGGGAATATATGTTAGGATGATTAGGACGATAGGATGATTGTTTCGAAGATATTAACTGTAGATATCTAAAACGTTTGTTTCTCTACGCACTCAGCTCTGTCACGTGCCATAACTCAACAGTAAATTGCCATTCCCTCGTAAGACTTCGTCAAACTATTTTTTCATATTGTCAGTTCACAAGGAATGTAGCACAACTCAAAACTCATAACTTTTCAGGAGGGAAGGGAAGAAATATTTACAGAAAATATTATGAGTGTACTTGGCAAAATGTCATAAAGATAGTTCAGAGATATCCGGTATATGGAGTAAAACACTTCGTTTTAGGCAAATAAACTGGTCTGTTCTAGATAAAACTGTTCTCCCGGGTATTGAGAGAGATTTGAGATGGGACACTTTTCTTGTGCACCAACGATATAACATATTGAATGACACGTATAAGAATAAAGCGTGTATTATTTCCTATATATCATCTTACTCGGTTCGAAATATCTTTCTCCTATTGTTTGTGTAAGAAAGCAGGCGGAAAATCGAAAGTGCCATTTTTATAGATTACGTACGTGTATCCTGTTGCTTATACAATGTATTATTTCGAGGAGTGAGTCACTGTTCAGCCTTGTGGAGCCGTGTTTATATGATATTTCGCGGCGGCGAAGGCGCGTGCGCGCGCGCGTGTTTGTGTGTGTGTGTTTGTTTGGGTGTGTGGGTGCGCGCGCGCGTCCGTGCGCACGTGCGTGCGGGAGCGCCGGGATGGCGGGATGGCGCGCTCAAGGAGGTCGTTGTGGGTCCGCAGGGCCTGTACGGCTCCCTGGACCAGCGCGAGGACCTGCTGGACGAGCTGCGCGTGGCGGCGGCGCCCCTCGCCGAATCGTGCGCTCCGGAAGTGAGCGCCAAGATCAAGGTCGCCGTGGAGGACGTGGAGCGCTCGTGGAACAACACGCGGCAGACGCTGCGCGAGCTGTGCGAGCGGTATCAGGATGCGGCGCGCCTCTGGCGCCAGTACCGCGAGGCGAGCGACTGCGTCAAGACGTGGGCGGAGCAGCAGCTGGACTCCACGGCGCACCTGACGCCGGCCGAGGCCCTTCGCCACGTCAAGGTACGTCCGCCTACGGCGTCGCGCTCCGCACTTGAGCGCCTTGCGTCCCTTGGGGGTGCGCTGCTCGGGGTGTCTGGGGCCTTGAAGCACGTCACCGCCCCTCACCTCACCGCCCAGCAAAAAAAAGAAATTCTTGAGCACTATCCTGACGTAAACATGTTCGGCAACGTTACCACACTGTTGTAAGAAGATTAGTCTCTACAGTACAGGCCCTTCTCGTCGGCCCCTCCCCTTTTCCTCTCATAAGTATTCTCCCTCCTCCCGTTTTACTTTCACGTATTGTAGAACAGAGAAACGTTCCTATATAAGACTGCAATAAAAATACGCGTTTCCGGGTTCCTGACGCCAAAAAATATTGTTTTTCTTTGAAATGTGGTCCGTCCGTACGTGAACAACACCACTCACAGGAGTTTTACTGAAATGGATCTCCGAGCGATCTGTCTAAACTACAGATCTTACGAATGTGAGACTGATATTTGAATTTTTGGGGTACGTAATATGTTGAGATCACACTACATTTTCATTTTTAGTCAATGACAGATCTAATTTTTATTTTTTCGCGCACTTCATTTTACGCACACTAGTACGTAGTAAACAGAAAGTATTGTTGTGTTGCAGCGAAAAGTGGTGATTGTCAACAGAAAAACTCATATTGTGGGTCACTGATGTCGAAAAAGTGGATAATTCTTGCTCATATACATAGTACAGTAATTCCTCTAACACGTTGTGAAAGTAGTCAAAATACATGTTTTGTGGGTTCGTGAACCAAAAAATTGGTCTTCAGCAAAACTTCCGTCCGCCGTACACACTAGCGCCTAAACAGACGATTTTCTCCAAAATTGTCATTCTCCAATCAAGACCCGGTAAATTTGAAATTGATAGTTTGTTTTTGAGGAGTAATTTGCATAAAGCCTCAATCATTTCAAAATGTTCTGAAAATTGACATCAGTTATTTATTTATTTATTTATTTATTTATTTATTTATTTATTTATTTATTGGAATGATCAATATACGCTTAAAAACGGCATTGGACTCAACTTCGTTGAACACTGCATTTTCGTAAATTGCAAGAGTTCAAAATATTTTCGACCTCTCTCTACAATTACATTATTGAAGTGTGATTTTTCCTTAATGAAATCTGTTTCTTAAAGACAGATCTTGAACTGAGGTCATGTACAATTTTTCGAGTTATAGCAGTTTTCGCGAAATTGGATTTGAAATATAGGCATATTTTAAACAATTATTTTCTCATAATTGGTTCCAAATTTTTTCTTTAAATTTTTCTTCGGATGTAGTAAAGGGCGCTAAAATTTGTCCAGGTCCCATTTCCAGGGAACTTGAAATAATGTCAATGAAAATATCTGGATTTTGAAAATTGTAAATGCAATTGTTCAACTTTGTTTTTAAAGAATCGGGAAGGTTGACTTTAGCTTTTAGGCTGTCGGTTTAGGAATAGCATGATTGGCGCTGAGGAAAACAAAATTGCTGATTGGAAACACTTTTGCAGGTTCAAGTAGTATTATAATATTGTGTAGTCGTTACAAATAATGTGCTGTTTTAGCACTTCAAGTTTTCTTTAAATTTCTCGTCCTAATAGAGCGAAGTACGTTTATAAATATTGTAAAAGTTCGATTTTTCTTAATATCTCCGAATATTTTGAAAATTACAAAAGTTAAACATTTTCTCGAACCTCTCCTGTATCGTTATTGGAGCTAGGTGTTTCTTGGCGTGTTCTTCAATATCATATCCTTAAATCATTCCATATTTTTCAAATTTAAATTTTTTTCTCGTGACAATTTAAAAAAAACTACATTAGCAATTTTTTTCGAAAACGGCTCCAATATTTTCTTTCAACGATTTGTGGAGATATAGTGCTCCGTTATATGACACAAATATCATTTTCATTGCGTTTTTTTTTGTTGTTGTTTTTTTTCCTTCAAAAATTTCACATGGATATTTTACCTTTATCTTTATTCGTTGTGAATACATTACAGGTCAGAGTTTTATAAATATGTGAATTGAATTGCTTTGATTAACTTCTGATGAAGTTTCTCAAAATCTCGAAAGTTTTTATTTATACGTGATATGAAAATATTAGGACATATTAAAAAACGTTCATGCAACTTTCAAAAGGCTCCAAATTTGTTTCTTGAAAATGCTTGAAATTTCTTGAAAAGTTGTTACGCTGTTTTATTTCAACCGGAAAACCCGATTGTTATTGTATCAGGTCTGCCCAAAACATTGTCCACACTAATTTCCAAATATCCTCATAATAAGACAACTTTTTTAAATTCCTTTGTTGAACTTTCTTTATTAACTGTGGAAATATATTCATTCATTCATTCATAAATTCATTCTTTCAGTGAATATTAATTTGTGTAGAAAACATAGTCTTTAACCTTTTTCTGCATGGTTGTTTTGATGATTTTAATATCTTTTAGCTATGTCTTTGGCACACTGCAATCGTAAATGTAATGTCTACAATGGAATCTTCCCTCGAATCGTTGAGTAGGCGTGGATTAAAATAGTAAGAGTTAAAATAGTAGAAAAAAGGTAAAGCTAGTGGTGCTACAACAGCACATACTTTCTCGCAATATTACAATGTTATCGTTATGTACGACGAAATGCCCATTAATTTCAAACACAAATTACGCGAAAACTACTAACTTTTACAAGAAAATGTAAATGACCCTTTTTAAATAGCTAAATGTGTACATCAGACTGTGTATGAGGCAAAAATCTCTATCTTCAATTCTGTAGTTTTATTTAGTTTTTTGTTTTTGCAATTTTCGAAAACCTGAGCAATACCCGAAAACGAGACTTTTGTACCTTTCTTATTAAAATAGAGTAAAAAATTTAAAGAAAAAAATTGGAGATGTTTTTAACAAAAATTTTGCGGTAATTTCAAGCGCAAAATACGCAAACTACTGATTTTTTCAAAAAGTGTACATTACCTTTTTTAGAGAGCTAATTTTGTGCAATATAATTTGACTGAGGCAAAAAGCTCTATCATCAATTTTGTAGTCTTTTACTGAAAGTAGTATTTTTTGTGCAATTTTTGAAAAACCGAGCAATACCCGAAAATGGGACTAGCACCAGATTTTTACCTCCCCTTATTAAGTAAATGTATAAAATTTAAAGAAAAAATCCTTAAGCTGTTTTTGAGAAACAATTTGCAATAATTTCAAGCGAAAAATACGTAAAAAGTACTCATTTAAAAAAAATGTACATGGCCATTTTAAAAAGCTAATTTTGTACTACATATAGGTGTTGTGGTGCGTTATCGTTGGCATTTTTCATGAAATAATTATAAACGTTGTCATTGCCAACAATAGTATTTAGTAAATGCTATTGTTGGCAATGACGTTTATAATTATTTCATTTTTTGTGCTACATACTTTGAGGCAAAAAATCTCTATCTTCAATTTCGTAGTTTTAACGAAAATGAGACCTGCAATATTCTCTTAAACGTCCTTTGCACTATTCAACAACAAAATTTAATAAAAAAATGTGGAGCAATTTTTTTGAAAATTTTGAACATGTCCGAGGGGCTTCATGCAAAGTTTCGGTTTCAAATCGGCCAAAATTCAAATATCGGTTTCAAATTTCAGGGACCGCGACATCAGCCAGAATGATTGTGGAATATCGATTTTGGTGAAAATCAGCTAAACGGTTTATGCGCTAGAGTTGTGCACAAACGGACGGACAGACACCCAGAGGCAGGCGTTTGCCGTCAATCGATTGTTCGTTGTGAAGTAGGCACAAAAAATGGATTACGATACGCCGTGTTAGAGGAATTTGTTTTCTATATTAAGCAACTGAATTTATCCACTTTTTCGTTACGAGGACCCTGAAATAAGAATTTTTGTGTCGAAAATGCGCCTTTTTCCGCACGATTACTATACTTTCTCTTCTGACGTTATTAAGTGCGAGAAAGTAAAAATAGCCGGCCTTAACCTGATCATAGAGGAAAGACTGAAAATATATTTCCTTTAGTGTAATCACTCACCCCACGTGGCCCTTCCTCCTCAATTCCAAGACGAGTCCCCAGCCGCCCTGCAAATGACGCGGATGACGCATAGTAGACATAGACATAGAAGAAGGAAGTGGTATTATTAGATATTCTGCTAATTCGAGTGAGTCCAGCAACTGTTGACGTTTTCGACGTTCGATTTGGATCTGAATAGAAGTGTAATACTCATAGACGATGAACTAACGTGCGGAGATACATACACAGATAACTGTGTTACAGATTTGTGAAATATGGGCGATAATCTTCGGATAATTTTTAACTGACTTCAAACGGATTTAAATTATCTTTCATGAAAGAAAAACAATTTTTGGTGTTTTATTATTTAAAAACGCGCTTTAGATCATTAGAATCCATGTAAACATAACTCTGCAAGTCATAAATTTTCGGCTAGATTCTTTTCTAACAGTGTTCATGTAATGTTCCTTATCCATAAATTACTTCCCTTAATTCTACATAGTGAATATTATACTAAAATACTCCAAATATAGATGATAATCTCCACTGTTTCTATATATTAATCAAATCGAGCACTTATGAATTTACCTAAAAAAGAAACTTTAAAAAACATATTTTCAAAAAACCTATATGTAATGATATTTTAGAGGAATTGTGAAAGATCTAGCCGTTCACACCCAAACTGGTTCATTCTGTGCCTAGAATTTTGGAAGGCACCATCAACTCAAGACAACTCAACTAAATATTAAATACCAATACAATCAAAACAAAGAATGTCAAAATACGATTACGAATATTTCATTATATTTCAATTTCTCAAATTTTTATTTTTTTATAATTTAAGATTTAATACATTATCATACTCGTTAATTTTTGCGTGTTTATTTGTTTAGCACTCGAAATTATGTCATTTTAGTTTGTGTAAATGAAAGCAAGAAAATTAAAGTACTCGTATCATGTTCGAAATGTGAATGTTTTCCGACGAGATTGATAAACGACCCAGTCCAAAAACATTCATATTCTGGGAGAAATGCATGTACTGTTTTTGTACACTTGAATCTTAGCTGTGTCTGTTCTGTAATAAAGCTAATCTCCTTTCTACCGAAATGGCAACATTGCTAATCCTATATTCATTGTCACCTTTATTGGTCGCTAAGAATCGTTGGTTGTCTTTAGTGTATCAGAACATGTTCTGCGTATTTCTGCAAATTTTCGCTTTTTGTCGGTCTTGTCCGATATAATATAATTGATCGAGTCTGAGAAAGTTAACTTTGTACGGACGATTATCAGTGCAGAAATAGCTGCTTGAAGAGGTAACCGTACAAAAATGTTTTTGGTGCAAGTATTCACTCACTGATACATTTTTCTGTAACTGTATGTTCGTGGCGTGTATGTTTTTAAGATTGAATACCTACGTCATCACCTAACGCAAAAATTATTTAAAAACTAACATTTTATCTACACTGGCTAAGGAATATTAGATGTGAAATAGTGTCTCTAATTTATCACTCACTATATGTGTATATTTGTATATTTTGAAAATTCAATTAATTTGCATGATAACATTGTGATTGTATTATTTTCATCATGCATAACACCGGTTGGTATTTATATTTTAATGACACTGAGAGTTAATAACGTTTTCAACAAAAAAGAGAAAAAATCATTACAGGACTGAAAGAAATTCCAATATATTTCCTTTGCAATAACAGTCTTTATTCTAGTGACAGCGAAAGATGCTGTTCCACTCCTGTGCTCCTTGGCCTCAGAATTTTCAAAGGCGCACGTCCTTTAGTATTCATAGGTTGTCAACTGTAGTGTGACTAATCGCCGGTGAGAAATCCTCCCGGAGTTGAAAAGGCTTTCATCTTGGTGGATGTGACGATTGTAGTGTCCTAAATTAGAGTTTACAACAGCAACTGTCGCAACTCTTTAAACATGTACACAGTTATCGTAAAACTGTTTTACACAAGCTGAGACAAAAGGGGAAGAATTTCGTAATAAGTATTCATGAGCCGACGGTTCTTAGCTGTACTTACTACATAGCTGCCTTAGGGTCATGGTCGAGATAAGAACGGGTGGTATGTCTGTTTTTGTATACGACGTCATAACACGAATAGACAGCGTGTAGACTCAAAGAGCCAAGGGTACATAGCATTCTTTGTTCTACTTATGTTACTAGTAGTATATTCCCATAAATTATAATCTTAATAAACAGAGCGATTTATTTTAGGTGCAAATAGCATCACGCCCCTTTTAATATATTACCAACAAATAATGCCTTAATTATTTTTGAGGATATTTTAAAGTTTGACGCAGGTTCTATCGCACCGCCTAGTATCTGTGATGGAATACAAGGCCACATGCGAACACGCGGGCTATCGGTCAATCGCATTTTGCGTTTGTATTCGAACAAAGTACTAGATTTTCCCTGGTGATTCTTAGACGTATGCTTAGCGATTCGATTCACAATTCGCACAAGATTCTGGATGTTGTGGGACAAGAAAATTCGTTGGGAAACTGCTATGCAGTAACGGAGGAGTTTTTAAAGCAAAATGGCATGATGCAATAAATGTTCACTTAAATGTTCAGAACACGCTAGTGTGCTTTTAACCCACGACTCGATCAATAGTGTGTATTGTTGGATAAATAACATCTTGTGAAGATTCAAAGTATCAGCATTTCATTATAAAATAATTAGTGGAAAAAGTTTATGATATAACTTATTTAGTTTGTGATGTCATGCATGTTCCCAATAAATGGTATCTTGCAGTTTTGTCTAAAGCCTGAGCTCTTGGACTTGTGTTCATTCATCCAAACTCGCATATCAGACGTCTCATATAAAAGTGATACAATTAAACTTCGAGTTTGATTTTTGAGTTAATACAACCATTGAATAGAGAAAATTTCAATCTAATGTGTAATTAGTCACCTTAATTGAACAAGTTAATTACATGCCACGACAGGATGGTCGAAACGTCGGCAACTCAGCCTTCGACGCGGCGTCACCCGGACAGCTCAGATCACCCACATGACTCTGGCCGCGGAAGCCTACGGCTTCAAGTTAATTACGTAGAAATCATCGAGAAGCAAAGTGTAGCGGTAACAACGATTATCGTACTAGTTTTTGAACCTTACTGAAAAGTTTAGCTTGTCAGGGCTATTTTACAGCACCTGTCAAGGTTATTTTACACATCTCAAAACTTAAAATTCATCGTTCTCATCCGGTTTCATACCGTGAACTTCAGTTTGTGTGTTAGTCACCTAGTACTGAGGCTGGATGAACGATATCTTAAAAAGTTGTTATTACTCATTTAGTACAAGTCGTGAAAACAGTCCTGCATTTCAATAGGCAAAAATTGAATGAGATATATTTTTGTGAACATATCACGCGAAGGTTTTGAATATGTGTAATTCGAAATATCTAAGTGCGTTTCATCTCATGTCTGGAAATTACAGTGGGCATAAAAAATAAAATGGAAGAACAGGACCTGCATATATAGGTGTCCCCTTACAATGTATTATGCTTGAACAGACTTGTTAATGAGAACCTATTGAATCGTTTATCTGTAAAGAATATTTGTTTTTGTGTTCAGGTATTCGACCAATCGGTCTCGGCAAAAAAAGCAATCTCGATCGTCCAAAAAATAAAAATAAAAATATTAAAAAAAGAATCATATCATGTAATTAATACAAAAATAACGATAACTGGCTTACATTTTATTTTTACATGACATTACAATTTAACGTGAAAAATCGTACATAGCTGCACAGATTTATTGCCTGCCAACTTGACTTACGTACTCAACCTGAACCAAATTTTCCGAACTCCAACTTCGGCAAACGTTGACATGAACAATTTGAAATAAACACAAACATAATATACGTACGCTGGCAGTCACGCGTTGCAGTTTTTACAACAGCGTTATTTAATGTTCTTCACATCATTTGAAAGTCCAGCGATCGCATAGTAAGAAAGTTAAAAAAAATGAAAGAAATGTCAATCACTTCAGCGATACAACGAATTTCGCTTGAAATATTGACCTTGCACAACGGAGCCCCCGCAGCAGGAACTGAAGACTTCAACCACATGCTACCTCATCCAAACTTACGACTTGCCTTGCACAGCGAAAATGTGCACCTGGAGCTACAGTCAAACGTCCAAATGAAGGGGTATCAGCCTTAAGCGACAATTTCATTAATATGCAACGAATAACCTAACTATATTATATATATATATATATATATATATATATATATATATATATATAAAGGTCTAAAAGGTTGTTTAAAATATATAATTGTTAATTGTTATTTAAGGTCGCATCAACTACTAGGTCATTAGCGACCACTATTGCGTGTAACGCTACGGTAACTATGAGGATGATGATAATAGGGGTGTGAAAGGACGAACACAATACAACCATGCCCGAAGCGAGACTCAAACCCGCGACCCTTCGGTCCGAGATCGCTACGGCACTACTGCCTGGGCGATCTCGGCCATTCGGACCGGCAAACTCAATATTGGTCGAAGATAATAACACTAATATCCATTCTAGGAGATTCACGCAGCCAATGTGAAAGAATTTTGTCGCAGAAACTGGCCTATTGAACTACGCCTTGTTTAAAAACTGATAAGCATAGTTGTGCCACTATCTCTCGTGGAGGGGGTTTGCTGGTTTTGTTTCTTTCAAGCTCTCTTCGATATACTATGAGTCAATCTTCCTTTTCAAACCATCCGTTTTCTCGGAGATGCCAGTTGGCCGAGGAGAACGTGACAAGACACTTCGAGGAATTCGCTTTTAAGTCGGAAGTCCGAGATGGGAGAAAACGTGTTTATTACTAAACGTCTGTAGTAAAATAACTAGTGCAAATGCCAAAAGGGTGTGCCTTGCGTGTGGTTGTCTTCATGAAACAAAAACCTTTTTTCCATATCCGAGGATATTTAAATGGCTTTACTTAAGTGAACTGTGTTGGCGTATGGGAAAATGTTCCGTAGTTCTGTGTAATGATTGTATTCGAAAATGTGCGCCTAAGATATACGGCTTAGCATGTCCTTCGAGAACATCAATGCCTGGCCTCGAAGGACTTTTTTTTTTTGCTGGATACCCTGCAATTTTTACCAGCGCAATTTTACGACCGATAGAGAGTGGTAGGTAAATTTATCAAAGAGCGTCAGAGCGTATCGCCGTTTCGAGCAGCACCGTCCGTGCCTATTAGTGACGGAAGACATCGGCCTAGGTGTTGCGGGGCGTCGCGCGCACTGTGTACGTTCGAGTCACCACTGCGCATGCCTCGATAACGCACGGATGCGTTTGCACGCGTGGCGCACGACGGCGCAGCCCGGCCCCCGGGCGGAGTAAGCACGGCCGTGCCGGCCCGTCTTGACGCTCGCTCCGCGCCGCCAGCCGCGCCAGCTCGGGGAGGCGGATGTGAAGTTCGGTGCGATATGTGCGGTCGCGTGTGATGCAAGGCGGCTCCGACCGGCGCGGGCGCGAGCGAAGGCACGGCCAGGGCAGAGGCTGCGGTCCAGCGCCACTCCGATCGATGTCGTTGGCGCTTCGGAAGCCAACTGGCGCTCCTCCCTCGCCCGAATATGTGCAGCGTCACCACCATGGCCAGTGCTGAGAACATCCAGGTAATATTTTATTCCTCCGGGAAGGCGAGGGCCATCCGGGGCGCGAGTGCGGCTTTTGAATGCAGATAGCGGCGTGACGCAGTGCTCTTCCCGACGCGAGCGGATTTCAGGGCGTGATGGATTTTGTGGGCGTCGCAGTTGTGAAGCGTTCTGAACAGAAACGCATGTGAGTGCCGGAGGCATTTGGATGTAATTAGAATTAGCATGTCTTATTTAATTTCGTGTATACTTTAGTGAACCGTGGTTACACACCCCTAATGCGAGTATTGAGTTGAGGTTTTAAAGGGGACGGCTGAGACCCAACAATTGCACAAATTAAATTTTAGGTGCTTTGAATGTCTATAAAGCATTTGTATTTGTTCATTTACTTAATTTCAGTTGCCACATTCTCTGTTCTAACGGATACTCGTTACTACTATCGTCAATATTCTCGTATCATCGGATTTGTTAAAAACAATATTGCATCAAAATTTTTGTTGTAAAGATTTGATCGGGCAATTTTATGTTTTAAGAGTCTGTTCCTTGTTGAGCTTGAACCATTCGTCAAGATTACATTGTTACATTCAGCTTTGTTCATTGAACATTTTATGACAAATATTAAATTGTGTAGACATTTACTTTGAAAAGCTTGCCAAGCGCATTTATTCCATCTCTTTTCTATCTATATGTGTTTACTTTTCCTTCTCTATTGGTGGCAATGTGCATTTACGTCTTGAATCTGAATGCTTACGCAATATGTATATTTGTTCTAATTTATATGCAATTTAATCTCCAGTACATGGAATGTAATGTCCAAAGCGGAATGATCACGACAATAGCAAAAGACTGTTCAGTGCTCTGTATGTGTGTATGTATGTAGGATTGTGATCGAGACTCATTTGAATACAATGTTATGCCAACGAAACGCGACTTATGTTTGTACTGACTTCATAAAAAACACGAAATAGAATTCGGAATTCTGACCCTGTCTTGTGTAATTCCGTAACATACAGTAGTATTTTATTTATGAAAAATGATACGAAATGACATGACGGTATGAAAATGCTGGAAGTTCATATGGCAAGGAGAACCGGGAGAGTTGTCATCTTCAATATCAATACATTGAATGTAAGCCAGATTGTATAAATTACCTGTAAATTTGTCACAATTTTTGGCATCACTTTCCAATGATGTTAATGAGTTCGAAGTTAAAACAAAATAGTAATGCGGTAAGTTGTAATGCATTAAAATAGTTATGTATTAAAAGCTCCGAATTTGGAATTTAACTTCACATCCAAACTGCATAACTCGCTATTCTTTCATCAATCACAAATACTTAAAAATTCGTAGTTTTCTACAATTTTGTTGTGTTGATAATTCTATAAACTAATATGAAAGTGGGGTGATGTACTTTAGTTGAAAAATACGCAAACTGGCGGAGTTAGTTTTTAAGTGTCGTCGACATAAAGAGTTAAGGATGACTGTGTTATCTTCTATAAAAAAAATACTGAGATCCCTTTTCTATTCGAATGCGTGTTTATTTTTCCAAGTGTAACTAAAAATTCTTGAATTGATCAATACATTAAATTTCTAAGAAAATCATTAGTCTTTCTTTCACATTTGCCTTGTTTTACTGTTATCGGTGATAAACAAAAAGGCGAAACAGAAATGCTGCTTCTTGCACAGAAATATGTAGCACAATAAGACAGCTTTGGAAATAATGTTAACTGTGCATTATATTGTAACGTCTATTTTAATATCAGTAAATATTAACGACAAAGAAACTTTTATTTTCTGCACCGCAGTTTCTTGATGATTTCTCGTATCTCGTATAAGTCCTGAAGGTTGTGCTTGCAGTGTGTCCAAGCTCTCAGGATAGTTTAACGTATCGCCGAAGAAAAAATCTACTTTCTTCGGATGCAAAGAAAAACTAAACAGATTGTGAATTGGTGGAATTGGGGTGCAAATGACAGCAGTCCTTTATTGCGCGCTGCCCTGGGATCGAGCTCAGAACCTTAGACCGTCTGCCAGAATTTTTTAAAGCACTCGCTGTTCACAAATGCCTTTCCGATTCTACAACAGCGCGTGGGGTAGCATGGCTAACCGCGCCCGCGCGAGCTACTAGTCCGCCTGGGAAGGCCGGCGCTCCCGTAAGCACGGACTACTTCCCCTGCTTCCGCTTTCAAGTCAATGGAGAGGAATACGTTTGAATGGCGAATTTTTTCTTGTTCTTATTTTCTGTTATGTTTTATCAAATCAGTTATTTGTTGCAAAAAGCCATGATGTGAAATAACAAGTTTCGGTAAGTTAAGAATTCTCGTTTATGAACCGAGAGCTCCTTTGTCTGTAGTTGACTGACTGTCGAAAAGAATCTTTTAAACCTCCTAATCTGAACGTAGGATGTTACACAATTATTGACCTCGTAAGTAAATACAATTACAAAATTATACTTTCGATTCGAAATGTTTAAATTTACTCGCCATTGACAATTTCAAATCTGACTGATGTATGATTACATTTTAATTGATACTTTCGTTGCTTTGAAAGACAAAATGTCAATTAATATCCAATAGCTAAATTTGGGACTGACTTCTCTGAAAGACTGTCATTGGTCAGGTATCCAGCCACTCCGAAGCAATTTGTGTTTTAAATCTCGCGTCAGTTCCTCAGGACGCACCGCCCGGGAACTCTAGTGTGCTTGTTATCGTGCTCGCGGCCTTGACATGCGTGGTTCAGTGTATTGGAAATGTGCTTAAAGTTGCGGTAATATACATCAAGCAACGAAACAGAAAAAAATACAAACAAAAATTCTAACGCGAATATATGCTTCTCAGGTTAAAATGGTTAAGGAATTATGTACTGTTGATATTGTGAAGAACACGCTGGTGATTTTTTTACCACCTGAAATGTCTCGCTCTGTATACGCTGTCAATGAATGCCCCACCAAGTCTGGACCACTAACTTCTAAAGTTTGAGAATATCGAAATGCAGGTTTCGCCCAACAGTTTGGAACCATGGAGCTATTATGTCGTAGATATGTTATTTGTAATAGTTTTAGTTTTTGCGAAATTCAGTCGTCTTTGATTTTTTTTTTAAATAAAACTAAATTATATTATTTTCACTAGCAATGGACAGATCTTGAAAGCAGGAATACAATAATGTAACATTTGTTAACGTTTGGAAGTTATTTCAGTAGAAAATTGTACTTATGGACATGTGATTTGAAATTAAACGAGAAATATTTTCTTTAATAGCTCTTCCAAGCCCTTCGTCGCCTTTGGAGAAGGTATAAAATCGCAGCATAAAATAGATAATTCATTTTCAAACTTAAAAGGTGTGGGTTAGTGTGGAAAAGTGACAGTGGCAAGAGATACAAAAGGAAATATTGTCTGTTTTATTTCAATTTTCGTTTCACAAAATATAATTTTCTACTCAAACTACTATCAAAACATTTAGAAATTATGTATCAGTGCATTCCATTTTTTATATCTCTACCCATTGCAAGTGAAAAGAATGGTATGCAGTACTATTCAAAATATCAAAAATGATAGTATTTCTCGAAAACACACACATACACACACACACACACACACACACACACCATATTACTGGCCGCGTGGTTCTGCATTGTTGGACGAAGACTGCATTTCGATATCGTGATTCGTTTGGAAATTGTGGCGGCATAGGTGTATCTACGGTATGGAAGACTATGAACGTGCCATGGGCGCCACTTATAGGGGCGCGTTTTAAAATATATCCGCTAAAACTAATAACAACCCTAATTTGAAGTATCCTGATAGGGGTGCAAATTCTATGCTTGCCATGGGCTGAATACCTAGATACGCCTGTGTGTAGTGATCAATAGTTGGTGGGACACCGGTATATTAAACGCTAAAATGCGCTTAATATGGTATAGGTTCGATTTTCATTAAAACTTCCGAGATTTCTAAAAGTGGAAATGTTCGATTTTCTTCGAAGTTCTATGAATGGTGGTATACTTACCAGCAGTGGTACTTAAAAGGAGGGCTGTTCCAATGCCAGATTTTGGCCGAACTAACCGCGTGGCAATCCACTTTGACTAGACTAGCCTAGACCCCTTTCCCATCTATCAGTAATGAGAGTACCAGCTCCCCTACCCTGCCATCGGGCTGTCAAGAGTCACTTGCCCGCGGATACACCCTGGAGTAAGGGGTACCAGTGCCAGGGCACACTGGAGGAACGGACAACCCAATCGATCGTAGAGTTTTGTGTTCAAGTTCAAATCCCAGCGCGGGCAGATATTTTTAGGAGTTGAAAACGCTCGCAAGAGCATGTATTCTATCAGTGAGTCAATCCCCGATGTGTGAAATGAGCTGCCGCCAGTCACAATAACATATGTAATGGAGTTCAAATGTGCGAAATTTTCGCAAGAATTTAACTAGTTTTGTTATATATTACATAACCGTCACAAATATAAAATATCTACTGCTGAAGCACCACTAGTTTAAACGCAAGTTTGCTATAATTAGAACAAAATTTTAAATTTAATAGAGATAAAAATTATAAAATGGGAAAGGAACAAAACTTATGAAATTTGCATAGTTCGAATACTAGTATTTTTGTCCTTGCAGTAAAACATATGCATTAACCAAAAGATGCACTCTGCTGTATCAGATCTTTTACCATAATCACGAATTTCACTGTCGACAATTTTATGCATATGTTACTCAGATGCATGCGTCCTTCTCAAGTCAGTAATTGAGACAAAGGCTTGTCTTGGAATATCGAAATGTAAAACAATTTTTTTATCAGTATTAAAACATCAAGAAAATCATTTTCCACTTAACTCAGTGAAATTAACTTTTGAATATCGTCATTATACATAGTTTTATACAGTGAAATTTTATTTTAAGGCATCACTTGAGGTTCCTAAAAAAACAATTGTTCAGGTGGCATTGTAATGGAGGTTCTAAGAATATAGGAAGCATACATACGGCTTAATTTTGTATTTGGAATGAAGTTCAGTTAATTGTTAAATTAAG